TTAAATGACATTTAAAATGGTGCCTGCTGATTTTAGACATATATCAGTTCTTTATCAAATCTACTCCTCCTTGCCCTGATTCTGTTTGCACACTTAGGTGCAGCTATTATCACAGAGAACAACAGCTGTGACCTTGGATCTTATTTAGCATTGTCTTTAGGCTTCCAGTTGTTGGAAGAGACTTACATGTATCTCCTTTTCATAGGGGGGAACTTGCAAAATATCCTACATGTAGTGGCCCTTCAGGCATGCTACAAAAATACTTGCTTGGGAAGAATGCTGGAAATTATGAAGTGCAGTGTAGCCAGTGCAGTAGGAAAAGAGATGATGCTTTTGAAGATCTCTGGCTGAGTTCTGGTTAAAGGGTTTTCTCAGCACTGCTCAGATATTAGCTGTATTTCTGGCTCTGTGTTTAGGGTGTCTGTGGCTTTGAATCAGCATCTGCTTTCTCATTTAAAATCATATTAGTAAAATCAAATAAATGTAAGGAAAAGCTTAAGAGGAGCTAATAAAATGATTAGAGAACATTGTATAAGCTCAAGGAAATGTTATTCAAAGTCAATTGAGTGTGTGTAAGAAGAACTGCCAGCTTTAAGGAGAGAGAAAATGGATTATATGTGAGAGGAAACTTCTTGATGAGATGAGTGAGAAAACTGCTTTGGTAGATTAAACTTTGTCAATAAAAATGTTCCAAGAATAGATAAGACTGTAAAGTAATCTGTAATTGGTCTGGAAGAACACTTGCTGGCCTACAATTCAGCCTTAATTCTCATGATTGCCTGAGATATCCCACACTCCTGCAATTAATCCCTCATAGCCACAAGAGTCAGGAATATAATGTGCTCCTAAAATACGCAATTTAAATTTCTAAAACCAAATAATCTTCTTACAGCAGGTAACTTCAGCAAGATAATTCAAGCACAGCATATTTTACTACTGGTAACCATTACTACTATTACACATCATTTAAGCACATTAACAAACACAATAAAACAAACCCATCTCCCCTCCATCGCTCTTTTTTGGTCTCTGTAATATTTGTGGACCATCTCAAGGTTTTGATCCCAAGCTGTTTTCAGTTTAAACATAAGAATGGTAGGATGCACCTCAGTTTAGCCAAGTTTTCACGCTCCTGCCTCACAGTACAGAAAATGGTTCAGCTGTTTGTTTCCTACGCTGAAAACTCAGCAGTGCTGGGGAAAGAAGTGGGAATGGAAATAGCCATTTTCTGTGCATGGTATTTGAGATGGTTGTACATTGGTGCCCTCTGCACATACTTGAGAGAACTGCATCACTTTGGTTTGGGTTAAAACGAACAGGAAAGTACATTGTGATTGGTTTAAATACTTGAACAGTATTTCAAGAACTCAATGGAATAAATAAACCTGAGCAACGATAGAAAGTTGTAATTAATTATATTTTTAAATAGTAGCAAATGCTGCTTTCCCCTGAGTATCGGTGACCAATTATTACCGTCACCAATTTGCAACTTTTTAGAGTAAATGCTCTGTTTTCCATAAAAAGAGGAGCCCTCCTTCCTAATAATAACGCTTTCCTGATATTTAAAGCTACTCTATTTAGAAATTCAGGTATCAGCTTTTTTAAAAAGGTGGGAAACAACATTGTGTTTACCTTTGGGTCTGCAGGGGAGCAAGAGCACAGCCCAGGGGTACTGTGTGGGCTGGCAAACCTGCCAGAGGAGAACTGCCAGTTGCCATCTGACTGTAGGACACCAGTGAAGTAAAGATGAGAGAAGAAGGGGGTGAGACTGGAACTCTTTGTCAGGGCAGAAGATAAAAAAGTAGATTTTAGAAGCGACTTACGGTTGAATTGATGCACGTGGACTTGACTGTGAAGTGCCCTGCATTCAGCAGTGGCTGTGAGTTAACAGGTGAGATCACAGCTGATGGTGTCCTAGCAATAACAAATCCCACTTATCAGATACTAAAACAACAATTAAAAGTGCATGTTTTTAGCACGACCCAGGAGGTCATGGGACATGAGTGTCAACAGTCTGAGGAGCCCAACGACCAGTCAAGCCTCGTTAAAAAAAGCAATCCAACTATCCATGTTAGCAGCAAGGCCACTCCAAACTGCTTCTTACTGCAGAAAAGGCCCCAATCTGTTGTCTTGCTTTCTCATCATCGTTTGTGACAGTGAGGTTACACTACACATCACAGTAATACAAACTCACTGCTGTATTCTGACACCTTCTAAAGGGTTGTTTGTTGCTGGAAAATCGTGCAGAGGTGTAAGTGCTCGATGAGTAGCCTAAATGGAGCCCCACTGCTTCTTTGTGTGTTCTCCCAGCTAACTGCACTGCTGATGGACAGCACTATTAAGCCGTCATTAGCACCACGTCTGAAAGCTTGGCTTCTGCTGATAATAACAGGCTATTCAATATCTGGAGCCTTTGTAAGAAAGAGGGCACCTAAATGAGAATAATGAGGTCATTCTGTGACATGCCTGAGGATATGAAACCATGGGTAACTTCTTAGCCCGTTTGATATGTGAACACATTACATTCAACTGTGACAGATTATTTCTAGCATTCAAAACAAAACAACAACAAAAAAGCTTCTTCCATTAAATCAGACTATAAAACATGAGCACCAAGTGGTAATCAAAACACTGGCATGGCTGTAAAGCACAACCTTCAAAATATTAATTCTGTGTAACCCAACCAAAAAGAAAACATTCCTATGGACAGATACAAGAAGTAGAGCAAGGGGTTGAGATACGATCAGAAAAACAGCTAAGCTTAACAGCACAGTTTGAAGGGATTTCATGGTAAAAAGATTGCTTACAATTGTGCATAATGACTTGGAGCTGAACGAGATGTGTGGACCATTTTGACTTTGAGAAGATGAATCAACTGAAATAACTGAAATGTTATTTTCAGACCTGCTTCTTGCTTAGAGCATGGAGCTACAGACCACTAGGTCTGAGGACTGACTGCTTTAGTCTGTAGCTCTGTTCAGAGGTTTAACACTCAAACTTTACAATGCCAGGAGGAACATTCTAACCTTTCTGTTTATTCTCCAAGGTGACTTTTTCCATTTCTCTCCATTTCTCTCAGAGTTTTCCTGGGTGTGCAAGAATCACACAAATGACGGGCTGTGCTGCTGAGCAAAGGAAGAGTGCTGGCCCTTAGCTCTTCTTTTGGGAAAGCCCAGTAATCTTTGCTAGACAAAACATTCCTGCATGACTAGTTTAGTCTAACACATATGCAGTTAAGGTAGATCTGGATCATACAATCCAGTTTTTTGCATTTAGCTTCAGTTTCTGTATGCAGAGAAACACAGCTGCTGGGAATTGTGCTGTGCTCCACATCTCGTGCTCCCTGGCGTGCCCAAGGTGCTGCGTGTGCTGGGGAGGACCTTGCATGTAGAACTGTCAACTTCTGCACCTTAAGCCTGGAAAGAGGGGAAGGCCACAGTGTTCTTTCCTTGTGAACCTCTGAGAAGTTAGCGTTCACAAAGAGCTTAAAGGGAAAGAGCGGAGATGGGAAGGAGTGCGGGTGAACACCTTGCTCTCAGAGAGCTCCTCTGACCAGCAGGCAGTTTCTCTTTGTTCCTGAGTTACCCTGGAGGAAAACAGACGTGCAAGTTTGCTTCTGTTCCAGTTTCTCTCCTTTGAACTTCTGTTTTCTTGGTCTTATTATTTCTTGTGTTTTTTGTTTGTTTTATTTTCTTACAAGGGATTAACTGTTAACTCAGCCATTACCATCATTCTTGAGTTACTAACAATTCACCCAGGATTTGAATAAATGTGGGAATAAGGACTGCCTCGTAATATCCGATGCATAAAATAAACCTTTCTAAAAGTAGGCTATAGATTATAGATATAGCACTAGTTCAATAGCAAAAGCAAAACAAAACAAACCCCCATAAAATGAACAATATTTCTCAGTGTTCTTTCCGACAAGAGCTACATAGAGGGGCTGGGGTGACACAGCTCTTCGTATCAGCCTACCTCAGCACCTCTTGACTGGCAAGGTGGACAAAGACAGACTCTGAGCACTGTGCCTGGTGCCCTTTAGTGTATCTGCATCACCTGTGCCTTGGGCAGTCCTATTTTCAAAGCAGAAAAAATAGTTCTGCTCTTTATTAATTGCACAACATACATTTAAACAACACGCATTCATTAAAGACTAAGATCTGTGAAGCTCTATTAAAAGCTAACAGATAATCCAGACAGAGTAATTGCAGGAGGCAAGCCTGGCTTTCAAACTTCGGGAAGCAGCTTAAGTTTTCATTGTATTTTAGACATATTTCCTCATTATACCTGGATTAATCTGCTGGTGTGTTTGGCTTGAAAGAGATTTCCTCCAACTCTGTGCCTTTCTACTGAAACTTCACATTCCTACAGCATATCTTTATCCCCTGTTTTTATCCCCCGAGCTGTCAAATGAGATAATAAGGCAGCCTTCAGCCTTAATTTGTTAAAAAATCAAAAGCCAAATAAAAAGATTATGTTGCATTATATTGCATTGTATATTGAGTTCGCAGTGCTGAGCATAATGACAAAGTGTTACATTATCAGAACATCATCAGCAGAATCTGCAAAACTACATTTAATCTCTTTAACTGAATGTTGTTACTTGGCAGAACAAAGTCACTGTTTGTCTCACGCCCCAAAAATGCTATTGAGAAGAAAATAAGCAGCTCTGCAGTCTGCAAGTTTAGGAACTCTTCTCCTTTACATCTGAATCATCTCACTTTTTAAACGGCTGTATGATGTGCACCACAGCATTCCAGACATTATGTAATGAGCAGCAGTTCTCATGCAAAAAAATCCCAGCGCTAACTTGCTGCCGCGTTATGACACTACTGTTCATCAGAGATAATTATGAAAAATGTTCTGACAATCAGGAGTATTTTTAAGCTATAACTTTTCCCACTGCTTTAAATGTTACGCATTTGCCTTTCTAAAACAAAGAATTCTTTCAAAGGAATTAAAAGCTCTGTAGTAACAGTGGTTTCTTTTCTCCTCTCCAGTGTTCATTATGGCTTCTGGGCTTTTGGTTTACCCTTTTGGTTTCAACTCTGCTACTGTGAAGAGATTCTGTGAGAATTCAGACATCTACTATGCAGGAGACTGCCAGATTGGATGGGGGTATATGCTGGCAATTGTGGGGGTCATGTTGTCTGTCTTTTTACCATTCTTTGCAAAATATGCACCAAAAGAGCACATATCTCCGACTCCAATACCTACTATTTTATAGTATTTTATTACTGTGTAAGAACAGAACATTCCTGTCTACGGGCAACGGGCAGCAGTTATTATAGCACTTCCATTTAGCTGTATTGCTAAAGAGAAAAAAAGAAAAAAAAAAAAAAAAAAAAAGGAGATGGGGAGAGAAGGTCAGATTCACAAAGACCAAAAGTGCATTGATAGTCTTCCGTACACACGAGTAGCGAACGCTCTGGAATTAAACTAAGATGAATCAGCAGCCTTTGTGCTGCTCCGAACACAGCCTTAGCAAAAGTTGGTGTCAGTTTATCCTCAGAACATCTGTCTACCTCCCAGGCTGTTTCTTTTGTGTCTCAAAACCTTAAGACTTTTAAAAAGTTTCAATCCACTTTTTATATATTACTAAATGTGAAAGCTTTTATGAACCCACTAATTTTAAAACCAATAACAATATTTTGTTATAATTATTTTGGTTAATTAAAAAAAAAAAAAAAAGCCTACTAGTAGCCATGGCCTACAATTAAGCCTGATAACTAAAAGTGTATACCAGAACAATTTTCTTTTTAATCTCTATGTATTAGTAGCACCTCCATATTGTCAGTTGTCAGGACACATTCATCCTGATCTAATCCTCCAGATTTACAGTCGTGTTCACGAAGATAACAGAGAGAGATGTAACTGCTTCCAAAGGCTCATGATGATGTAACAGGTTAAGAAAGTATTTTTTTTTCCCATGTTTCTTCAATTCTTATTTTAAGTGGAATCTTGCAGAATGATTTGAACTATGACAACTGCAGATTTGCTGTTGCTGCTCTTTAAGGCAGTAAACAACAACCTGTGCTTACAAGTGTGTGCCCTGTGGCCCTTATGTGTAGTGGCAACGCAAGCCAGAATTGACCAGATTGTAGCATATCCAATCCTTTTAAGATCCTGCTGTTGTAATATGTTTAGATGGGAAGTGTTACTGCATCCTATGAAGAAGAAGAACCTGATTCCACGTCAGAAGTAGCACATGGCCGTAGTTCGTGGGCTTGTGTGTGCAATTCATCTGATCTCCTCAGTAGCATTGGATTCATTACTATCAAAGACTGAAATAAGTGCACTTGATTCCTTAAGGAAGGGAAACATTGGGTTCTAAGCTCCCCCCACTGTTCTGTGTTTCATTTAAAATAATTTGAATTCTAATATTTTATTTTCTATTATTTATTAACAGGCACGTAGATTATATTTAATTCAGAGCCGTATGTCTCAGTTTGCATTTTGGCACAACCTAAGTGATCAAGTCCATTACTCTTCATTTATCTGAGCCCAACTAATTCCAGAAGTTAGTGCTGCTTTTATGTTGTTTTTTTATGGAACGTGTACATGAAGGAACAGACAGAGACATGTTGAGGATGTATAACAAATGCAAACAGACAGAACAATCACTGTGTAATTTTAATACGTCAGAGACTCCTACAGTCTGGTTTACATTCCTCACGCTTCTGAACATCAATGGACTGTTGCATTGTTTTCCAAAATAATGATCTGCTGTTACGTTTTCATGCACTCCAAAAGCAAATTCTGCACACTAAGTTTTATCACTGACCTTTGGAAACACAGATTTCGCAGTGGAATTAAGGACACTGAGAATTAGAGAAAGAGCATTGTGTGTTTTTGCTCTCAGTGAATAAGAGATGACATCCTCCAGATACCTAACGAAGTAGCTTAAAGGAATGTCAAAATTAAGCAGAATTGATTTCCATCATTTCTGTATAGTAGCACGCTTCCCTGTAACATCCTTTAAACGAATAGCTAAAATTGACAATTTTTGTATAAAAGTCAGAAAAGTGAGGAATAACGACCAACAAGTAAAAAGGAAATGATAACCACAAAGTAGAGAGAGAGAGACAGAGATGCAGGCTTTTCTTTCCTAACCAACCTGTGCCTTTACTCTAGAACCATTAGACAAGACAGGATCAATATGGTTAAAAAGAATCAACAACTGAAACGTGTAATGTGTATAAACTGTATTATGTAGGGTTTTTTCTGTTTTGTGTAACGTTTAAGACTGTCACTTAATGTTCCACTAGAAAAGTGATTTGTTAGTGTGCAAAAAAAAAAAAAAATTGCAAGGACCTAAAATCCACAAGCAAAATTTTGTGTTTTTCTTAACATCCACACCATACCTGCTGAGCACAGCCAATCAGCTCCTGTCATTGCTTGTTAACTTTCACATGTGCAGAACTAGAACCTTCATTCAACCACAATCTGAGGACTGCAGCACTGTGTGGTGTTGAACACACACACACACACACACACACACACACACACACACACACACACACACACGCTCTCTTGCAATTCTGGCCCCACAGCTCAAACCTCCCTCATAATTTCAACGTACTGTTTTAATGGAGTTCTACAATTCACAACGCTGCTGTACCAAATCTTTTACTTCTTTAAACTCAGCCTTTTTTGTTGTGAGCGCTGTCAGGCTCTGTTTCCTTCCATGAACCCAACTACTGCCTCCATTTGGAAATTTTGTTGTTTTACCATACATTAAGGAAATGAAGCATAAGTACAGGACCCCTACAACTGGACAGGCAAAACTTTCCTTGAAACATCCATGCTCAGAACCAGCTTAGCACAGAAGACAGAGATAAGGCAAGGGATTCTTAGCACAGTTAGGAAAGCATATGCTTTAGCTCCTTAACTGACAGCTTCAGTAGGGTGTTGCTAACAATCCATATGCTAACACTGACAGATCACTTTTTAAAATAAAGACTGTCTGCGAGTTGAACTGTGTAAAGCATTTTCTTGTTAAAAGTCAAACAATTTATGGGATCAGGTTCAAGTTTTATTCTAAATATATAATTTTCTAAGTGTAACTAAAAGCTGTATTTTCCATTAATGTGTTTCTGCATTGACTAGCTGGCTCCTTTTTAGAATATTAACTGTTTTCTGTATTTGACTTGTTGGATACAATACTTCAATTATTTTAAATGTGAAATTTCCAATTGCCAACACTGTATAATAAAAAAATTTGAAAAAAAAAAAAAAATCACTGTTCACTGTTTTCTTAACATCTCTCTCTTTTTTTATTAAAAAAAAAAATTCCAACAAATTTGGTACAAGGTGTTGAAGTAAGGGGAGAAGGAAATAGAAACAACAGGAATAAGTGTGAGAGTAGATGTTTGAAGGCAAAGACACAAACATGCATGTGGACCGTCCCTCACAGGATGTTCCTATGGCAAAGGCAAGGAAGTTCTGTGCTCAAGTAATTATTTTCCAACTTCCTGCGTGTCCTTAAACAACGTTCCCACAGCTACAGGGCATGCTGCTCTTTTAAACAAGTGTCTTAATGATCCGCTGTTTTTAAAGAGGAGTACAACTAGTGGTGTAGCAAAGGGAACCACGTGAATACCTACTGTGTACAGCTGTATCCTGTGAAATCCTTCTGCAGTGCCTGTTATGTGCCTTTCTGGAAGAGCTCTTACACATGCTGTTGCTATTCAAAGGAAACTGAAGCAGGATACACCATCTTACTTTCTAGCAGAGAGCAATTTTAATGAAATCACACAAAGAACTTTGTTGATGTTTGATCACTACTGAACTTTGACCAAACACTCACCACAGTCAACATTCTGAAACAGGTACTGAAGGTATTTCTAATAGCTGAAGGTAAGAAGCAATGGCAGTGTGAATTAGTTTTGACAGTATCCTTTTTCTGAGACACCTGAACTACTGTCAAAGTCAAATTTGTGTGGCCAAGTATTACAGAAATCAGAAACATAAAATTTCACTCTCAGCAAATTGTTTGTAAAGGTCTAAACTGATTGCTTGTGGGCATAGAAACAAACAAAAACCCACCACACCAAAAGGGGAAAATAAAATGTACAGTAGGTAGCACGTATAGGCAGTGTGGCATGGAGGCGAGAAGGTAAGAGAAGGGTTTGATCCCCTTAGGGATGCTCAAAACATGTTTGAGAATTCCTCAGGCTTAGGCCATCTCTAAAAAGGAGGCACTGTTTTCATTCTCGTTAGCCACCTGTGGCTCAGCCTCATTTCTCCTCCTCGTGCCTCAATGGAAGGAAGTTTCACTATTAAGTCTTTTCTTCAGTGACTGGGAGAGATAAGAGGCCACTAATCAGCCTGGTCTGCTGTTAAGGATGCATACACTGGGGTAACAGACAAAAGGGATACGAGTGGGGCACTCCCTGCAGTTCTCACTGATCCATGGATTTTTTTGTTTGTTTTTAAATAAAACTCATTGAACAGTCCATTCCAAAAAAATAGAATTTGCCTCACTCTAGTTAAGCAGGAACAGTTCATATAAATAAGTTACGTTCATATAAACAACTTCAACATTTTAATTCAGAATTTCTCCAGTAAAATCCAATGAACTACATAACAAATGCTGTTATCGCACAGATAGCCAGAGAAAATACACTGTGAGAGTAATAGTGGAAACAAAATGCTGTCCTTAGCATTTGTTGATAACAGAGTATATTTTCAATTATTTAGTCACATTTTTCAGCATTAGTTTGAGTGAATGAATTTTATACAACCTTTACATTTAAATTTCATTCATTGTTTTTACGTAGGCTGTCATCTCAACATCTGCAATTTTAACAAATTCTTGAAAAGTGTTTTGTTCTGGAACAGTTGCTGGTCTTACAGAGACACACTTGAAAATGTTCTTTTTTGTGTCATAGTTTCCCATGCATCTGAGCACACGGCCTCTAATGAGTCTTGGAAGCTCGCGATCCTTCAGCAAAAATGCAACAAATAAAGACATTCCATCACCTTTCTAACATGGAGGCTTTCCAAATGCCTGATTGCTGCTTATTAGTGCATTTCTGGAAGTTGTATCAAACACTGAAGGAATTTACATAATTTTTTTTTTCTTTTTGCTATTATCAACAACTTACGAGCTGAACTGAACTGAAAGCCCAACCTGCATCTTCAATATTTTTGGTGAAACTGAAGTCTGAGGGTGCCCAAATAGCAGCTGCATTATTGCTCTACACCAGCCTGGGTACAATAATGTATAAACACCCAGTCTTCCTTTTACAACACTATTTTCTGTTTTCTCAGAACACCACATTATTAGCTTCCTAAAGGCACAGCATGCAGTGGTGTCTTTGTCATGTACATACATGGAATACTTACAATTTCATAAAAAACACACGGCAGGCTCTCCTTTCCATCTCTCAAAAGAAAATTCTTGGCTCCGTACGCTCCAGATGTGACTGCAGAATCAAGGGTGCCTACAGCATGTAACAAAACCAAGGCACGATGTAAACATCAGAGCTGTACTAAATATGATATCAAGACATCATGATAACATTTCCTTCACAAAAGCACAACGGTGTATCAATCAGCATCAGTTTCCTGTCACAACCTGCTGACAGCCCTGGAAGTTCCAGTATGTTATGGGCTTCTAATACTCTTCTAATAGTAAAACTGGATTTAAAATCTGCCTAACTGGAGTGACAAAATGTCATAACAGTCACTGTAAAGGGGTTATTCCCTTGTTAGCCAGAGCAGAACACAGTTCTCTAAGTTATATTGATCCTCATGTGCCAATCAACGTTAAACATTACGAATATCTTGGCTGTGTCACAATAACAGTTTGCTGAGATGTCATTACACTGTATTTTTATTCATCTTAATTTAATGGGCTTAGTCATTTCTGTTGTCTTTTACCACGCTCATTTCTCAGATAACATCAGTTAGCGTGCCAAGTGAAACCACACTAAGTTACTTTCCATGGGAAGCCCCCCACGCTTACCTAAAACTTCAAATAATATTGGAGTTTTGTAAGTGTATTGGCTCCAGTGCTTCATGCTTTCAATGACTGCAGATACGATTCGCAAAGAATTCCTTTTTTCTTTAAGCTTTAATTGAAATGAAGAAACATCCTTTTGGAGGAAGACGAAAACTTGAGTTAGAGATACGCACTCGAAGACTTGCAAAAGCACGTAGGTGTTCAGTAGTATTATATATCCCATATTTAAAGTATTTGTTCAGACTCTGCACATGACCCCCAGCCAATTTATATGATCATGATGAGGACTGGAGGCCATTAAAATATGAAAATCTCAGCTCTACATTTTTAGAAACTTAAGGGTTTGTTAAGGCAGCCGAGACTGATAGAAACATCATCTGTCCACAATTCTCTTTAAAGTTTTCTTCACTGCATCTTCCTTTTTTGACTTCATAAATTTACCTGACTTTTGGCTTCTGGAACGCAATCAAATTGCTTTTCATTCGTGCTATTTTGCTGACTATTGCAGTTCAATTTATATGGCAGACCATAATCCTGCAGATTTCCTGACGCAGTGTTAGGTTTCACTGGCCACTGTCCTTTAGTGGAACGCGTTTGGCTGGTTTCTGTTGTTTTGATGTGCTGAGATGAATTGGAGCTATCAGGTACTTTCTGCTGCTGAACAGGTTTCCAATTATTTGAACGGTTCTCAAACTTTTGAGTAGTTCCACTACCAGATATTGAACCTGTTCTGTTACTTGCAGGGGTGCACTCATTTCTGTTCCAAATTTTAGTACTGGGAGTCTTCTCTTCTGCCCTGCAGTGTGATGCAAGATAAATTCAGTACCACAGTATCCACCCTGAACACTCAAATAAGCAACCACAGCGTACAAAAGCAGTATTGTTTTAGATTTAAAAATCTGATGCCTCTTTAGATTCAAAGAACATACAATTAAATTTAGCCATTACAGGGCAACCATTACACACTTGCTTAAATCCTTCTGAATTAGGCTTAGGTACACTGGAATTGATGCCCCATTTCAGTTCTTTTTGGCTCATAAGCAGAACGTAATTATTAAGGACAGCAGTGAATACCTGGAAATTAAAAGGGTGTTCCAGAATGCTGCTAGAATATACAGTGAGATGTACTCTCACATAAGAATAACGTTGGTTAAAGATAATAAAATTAAAGTTTTTACTTACCTGTGGTCATACAAGTTTCTTCCAGCTTTGACTAAATTAGGCCTTAGTGCATTGGGTGATTTCACAGGGGAAGGAGCCATGTGATCATCTGCTCTGTTTTCAAAGATAAGTTAAAAAAATCAGTGACACAGTAGCAGCTTTACTTTCAGGCAGGCGTACAGTTCACAGTTTGTGAAGCAAATTGATAGTGCCCAAATAAGAACAGATCTAGAACAAGTGGTACAACATACATACCCATTGTCTGCTGCTTTCTGTAGCTCATCGACTTCTGGGTTTGCAGCTCCCCAGCCTGATTCCCAAAAGACAAAAGATTGAGTATGGATACAAAGTGAAAAGATTGAAAGGTACCAAGTCTGCTTAGGGCTCCTGCCCTACGTAATGTTCCACAGATAGTCCCAGCAGGAGGGAGGAACAAAAGGGGAAAAAAAGAAAGGAATGTGTTTTTTGGTATCTGTAATTATAAGTCAACTTCTAGCAAGTAGACTGCTTTTCTAGATGGTGCTTTCTTACTAGCACAGACACGTTTTTGTCACAAGAAAAACAATGATTGAATACTGCATCATTCTTTCCAAGTACAATTTGAAGAACAGAAGTTCTCTTCTCAGTTACAAGAAAGACATCTTGTAAGTGTTTCTTCTTGTAATACTGGGCTTGAATTTTGATTGAAATCAACTGAAAACAAAAGGTCAGAAATCCAAGAGACTATTTAAATGCCAATGCTACTTCATTCTGTAGCACACAAAGCTTCGACCTCCCTCCAGGCATGAAGGAAAAAAAGCTCAATTGTATTGCGCAGAAAGAAACTTCCTGGAGGACAAGTTTTAAACAATGGGCTTCTCATAAATAAATATAAAGGATGCATATAGTTCTTGATAAGGACAATATCTTGTTTAATACAAGAATAAAATTAATATTTAGTTGGATATAGAGCCATCAAAAATAGACACATCTTAATTACCCAGTGATGAGGAAGAAAAGTCATGAGTCACAGAACTGGAAGCCGGCTCGTTCTTAAGGGGATTTGAGGTGAGGGGCTGCCTGGGTCTCTTTTTCTGGTTGAAGAGAGGCACAGGCAAACAACCTAAAATTAAAATTCACACGATAACACCACACCAGCACTAGGAGCACATGCAGCCTACACTTAATGTATGTAAATAGCGATTATCTGACAATTGTTTTACTTACATTACCCATGGGAATTGTAGTTCATAAGCACGTAGCATAGCGTAGCCCAGTCACTGCCTCACAGGGCTGAGCCCTTCATCCTGCAAATTAGTCTGTGAGCTATACGTATCACTGCATTGCCAGCCCCGTGCCTCCAAAACTTTACACTGTGCCGTAATAACATAGAAATCCGTACAAGTCCACTTGGGAAATGGGCTCCAGGATATGAGCGCAACGATGAATAAGCTGTAAGTGCAAAAGAATGGATAATACCTGCTGTGCTGCGGCTTGAAGCATCAGCTGAACTCCTTTTCATGGCTGTGCTGTGCTTCAATAGCCTACGCTTTTTTGGTTCTCCTCCGTATTCACTGTATGAAAGGTAGGTAAAGGGAAAGTGAGCTAATTAACGCTGTAAACACATTCAAATTACATGCAACTTTACGGCAGTTTGTCTCAGCGCTTTGTTTAACCTGTCCATGCATCACTTCAGACAAACCTAAAACGCGTGAGGATCTGTGCTGAATTTAACGGGCTCACAGGGATCCCAAGCACTCAATTAGCAGATCGATAGCCCACAACATTCAGCATTGAAGCAAAAGTCACATGCCCTAAGATCTTGGCGGGCAATAACAACACTGAATTTGCTGCTGAATTTAAAAGCACACTCAAATGCAAGGAATCAGTTTAGCCTTTAATTCTGCGGCGCACATTAACTGCACTGTGACAACTGCAGCAGCTCCCAGCTCCTCGCTGCCACCTGATTTGTGATTGAAATGCACTGCAAGTGCTATTAAGCCTCATGGATGTTAGCAAATAACACACTTGTAAAATGAAACCTCTCACACCTGACGCCACAGCCCTTGAAGCCAATTTTTGCATGGCATAAGATCCCTTTTCTGCGTGGCTTTATTTTTCTTCCTCTTGAAAGTGAGCAGAGCACAGCCCTGAGCTAAAACATGCGAGGGAAAGTAAAACAAAAAGTAAGCAACAGGCGACACAAGGCTAAACCTGCACACCGCTTCACACGCAGCAGCACCCTCACCTACAAACCAGACCGCCTTCCCACACACTGAAGGGACAGGAGCGAGCAGCAGCCCGCCAAAAATAACGGCTCAACCCGCCCCACCCTCACTCAGGTGCGAGGTCAGAAAAGGGCGGGAAGGGCGGGACGCGCCCTGCGCTGCAGCCGCCGGTGGCCGTGAGAGGGCGCCAGTGAGCAGCGCGGGCAGGAGCTCATCGACCCCTGGGGAGCGGCTGCGGGGCTTCATGAGGTGTTACGGCAGCGTCCGATGGGCTTCCATGTTGAATTGTAGCTTGTTTATTAACAATTAATTCCTAAATCGCTAGCTTTAGAAAACTCCTTCTGAGTTTTTAGGCCAGGTCACTTGAGCAGGAAGGAGAGAATAATAAAAAACTGTGCCCTGTGTGGTGCTGCCATTAACAAGCTTTATATTTTCCACTTCTCGGCGATAAACTAAGTCAAAGCGTTCACTGCAAACAAAGCAGTTAACAAAATCAGTGCTGAATTCTTAATAAACCAAATATGTTCCTGCATAATTAAGCATTGGCTGAGCACAGGAAAACGGGAATGGTTCCCAGCGTGCAGAAAAGGGAAAACATTTCTGCATCTGTGCCACGTGCTCCCGTGATGCGCTGGCAGCCCAGGGGTTAAACGCTGTCCGCAAGTTACTTTGCTCCAAGGGTATAAAAGGAGCCTCCATCGCTTTGGTTCCAAACCTCGTGTTTGAAATGCACTGTGTCTGCCCTAGCAGAGCGCTCAGGAGACAAACTGCTTGCATGCTAAGTGAGGTAAGTGCACGGCGCTGTCTCTGCTTTGGCTTTTTGTGAGGAACGACCAGCCATCCCTGCTGGCAGTGCAGGATAGCGATAGTTTACTCTTCAAACTGCTGCGGTGTTTGAATTCAACAGAGCACGACGCGGAGCACGGGCTGCTCCTTCTGCACGTGGCACCGCTGCTGAAGGACTGGGGTCAGAGGGCGGTGCAGACTGTCTGCTGCTGTACAACGCAGCTCTGCTGCTTTCTTTAATACGTTACTTGCTGTGACTGAATAGCTGACAGCCTAAAGTACAACAGGAGCACAGCTGACTTAAGTGAATACTCCACCTGTTAACTCACTGTGAGGTTTAGCAAGTCCTGGGCATAGGTTGCAATGTAGAGAGCAGCATTTGTAGGAAAAGTGTTCCTGGCAGAATTTTGGTGGATGAAGCCTATGTCTGGCTCTGTTTTTATGCACATGGGATCTATCAGACTGGTTGTGAGGCCCTCCACAGACCCTCACCAAACACCGTCACTGGGGTATATTCTTATTGTTCAATAAATGTTCCTTATTCTCTTACAGTGTAACATTTTTATGTTAATACTGTGTGCTGGACACCAATTTGGAACTATTCTGTCATTAATGTCAGTCAAACTGTTTGCTTTTTAATCTGAACATTTCAGTCCTCACAACAGAAGTTATGGCTGCTGTTTAGCTTGAGTTTCCATTCTGAAAACCCATCGGAACGCTTTGTGAAATGGCAGAAGTCCTCAGCTAAGTTTCTTTCAGGGAAGGACACAACTTTTGTCCCACTGTGATCTGCTTTGATTTCCCTTGTTTCGTAAGGGGCTGCAGAAATGAGAAGGGTCCCTATTCAGTTGTTCCGATGTCACAGAGGTCTGTGTTAGCAGATCCCAAGGCACATCTAGAGCCAGGAACGCTAGGTAAATTGTAGCCATGCTGCACTTTAATTTCAGCTGTCGTTCCTTCCAAACACCTTTCTGACAGTCTGAAACAAAGGTCATACAAGACAGCCTGCTTTGAGGAACTCAGCTGTTCGTGTTTTTTAGATGACAGCACTTCGTGTCTCGGCATTATCAGCTGATCTCTGATCTAGAACAAAGATAGGATTCACATTTTACTGTTTTCACTCACTTTAAATCATTCTGCTCATACGTACGGTAAGGTTTTTGTGACTTAAAGTGCACACGAACAGACTTGTCACAGCGAGTTTGCGAGTTTTTTCAGACTTTCATTAGCAGAGTGTTTACCTGTCTCTCATATATTAATAGAGAACGCCTGGAGAAGTTAATTTTTGAATTGTGTAACAGTACAGAAACAGAGTGGGAGGATTACTAAATATGGGAAATGAAGGGAGGGCTCCTGGGGAGGGAGGAGAGTCGGACCAGCAACGCCCCGCCTTGCAACCGGAATCTGAAACTTAGAGAAATGTTAATTCTCCTTCATTCCTGTCTGACCTAAGCAGACATAAAGAATTTCCTATTAAAAGAAATATATATTTCTTTTTCAGAGATACGAGCTTTACTTCACTGTTGTTTTCTTTTGATTTCAGCAATTCTTAAAGCTGCTGAAAAGCATGACTTCCTGTTGTGTTGTTCCAAAACCTCCAGTGAGAAGGGTTGCTATCTTTGGAGGAACTCATGGCAATGAGTTATCAGGGATATTTTTGGTCAAGCACTGGCAAGAGAATGGAGCTGAGATTCAAAGAGCAGGAATGGAAGTGAAACCATTTCTCACCAACCCAAGAGCTGTGAAGAAGTGTACTAGATACATTGACTGTGATCTGAACCGTGTTTTTGACCCTGATAATCTTGGGTAAGAATAGTTGTACTTTCTGTTGTTTTAATTTTCTGTTTTTTAAAACTGCCAGGAACTTCCTTTCCAGACTAAAACACTGATGCAGGTTCCACTTCTGTGTTATCCAGGCAGTCACATAACTGAAATTACTGACCTTTTACCCAAAAAGAACAAATTGCGTGTGCTGTTTCGTTTTAAAACTTGCTGGTAGAACGAGCCTCAAGCCAACACATAACACCTAAACAGAGTATTTTAAATCTGTATGAGGATAGCTGTGCTTGTGTAAACCTAAGCTGCTGTTTGGAGTTGCAAAGTCGCTATTTCTCATGCCTTCTTGTGCAATTCAGCCTTGGAGCTCTTCTGAATGCAGTTATGAAATATGAAAACACAAAGCAATTTAGAAGTAGACTTCAGTATATAAAAGGTGACAAGCAAGGTGGGAAGTGTATTTAATTATGGTCATATAGGATAGAAGACAAACACTTGAAATTATAAGCTAGAAATAAAGCGTTCTATGGCAAAATGGCAAAATTCAATAATTTATCTGTCTCCTTATTTTAGCAGAAATGAAATCTATAATTGCTGTACAGTGGTAATTGAGCTTACTTTTTAATGGGATTTTCTGTTTCTCTGCTTTTGAGACATCTATGCCGGAGGTGTACGTTGTTGTGTGAAACGTTTTTTAATGACTGGTACAGCTGCAAGCTGAGAGGGTAATTAAGTATGAGAAAAGCCTTAATTGTAAAAGTGAATATTACTGAGAGAAGTAGGTGTCACATTTATTTTGTAATCACGGTTATTCTTACCCTGAATGCCTTCTCACCTGGCTTTTCATCTAACAGTTTTGTCCTTGGATATTATATGTAAGGTGGACAGACTTTAATGCAGAAGCGTTAAGACCATTCTTTCATGGCTTACTTACGTGTTCCCTCTACGGACAGGAAGCCAATGATCTCAGACCATTTCTGACATGCCAGTACAGGCTGGTCTGGTGCCTGAGACTGAAAGCATTAAAACTTCAGAGGAAGGCATTTGAGGTGGCAAAATCTTCTCTAAGGTTCAAGAGAATCAATAGACTGTAAGAAAATCTCAGCAGAACATGAGAATGTGTGTTATGAAAGAGCTTGTAAATGAGGTCCAAGGTAAAAGGGCACGAACCCGTATCAGAATACCGCTGAGCTCAGGCTTGGAGGTGGCTGAAGTTGTTGATAAATGCTGAGTTAGTTTTCTGCGCTGGGGGAAATGCTGAGATGCACGTACTAGGAGTAAATGCAAATAAATAAGAGAAGTACAAAGCCTACTGCAAAAATCAGGTTAAAAAAACGTAATGCCTTTCTGCACAAGATACATAGCTGTGAGACTGCTTCCCACTAACAATCATTTGTTTGTTCAAGCACAAACATCGCGTTTTAAGCCAGGTAATGTAATAGGCAGTGATGGAAATAAAGTGAAAGAAAAGGATGTCGATATTTTGTTGAATGTAAAGTCATGAAATGAGTTGATTGATTTGTTTGTACTAATATTAACAGACAGACAGTGGTGGAAGATATTCCATATGAAGTGAGAAGGGCTCAGGAAATCAACCATATATTTGGTCCAAAAGGTAGTGATGATGCCTATGACCTTATTTTTGACCTTCACAACACCACTGCTAACATGGGTGGTACCCTTATTCTTGAGAACTCCAGGGATGACTTTACAATTCAAATGTGTCATTATATCAAGGTAAAACTACTTTAAATGAACTATTAAAACAGATTACTGTTTGC